AAAGCTGACTAATTAATATCAAAAGAGTCTCTGAAAGAGTTAAAGGAACATTTTAAGAAGCAAGGAACTATTGTGATTATGAGAGAGGCATAGTCTGTCTTTTGACAGGGGTTGGTTTTATGCTCAACAAAGTGATATGAAATTAACCATTTTCATAAACAGATGGTCTTTAGGATAATGGCTTGTACTTTTTAATTTCCTCTTTGGCATTACATCATGCCAAATGTCAGCAATGTCAATAGTCTTCATCAGAAGTTGCCTGATACTGTTGGGATGTTATACAGATATCCAGTAGTTTACGAATACTATAAATGGAAAGCAGAGAAGTTGAAGAAAGAACAGAAGGATAATTTAATAAACAAAATCAAGAGAAAATGAATCCAGGTCCAATTCTAAGATTAAAAATTTAAGGCTTAAAGTATTCATCACTTCTTTTCATCTCCACTGCATTGCTATTTTTACATAGCAATGTATTCTTTAAATACTCTCACAAAAAAACATCTTTTGTTCCTGGATCTTATTCTTAACAAGGGATAAGTGATGCCCCATTTATAACATTTTCAATGCAGGGTCCACATGTGGTCGTGTACTAGCATGGTTAGACAGTGTATATTAAAATAAAATAATAATAAAAAAAATAAACCTCACAAACCTCCAGAAATTCCTCACATCTATTATGTTTACCTTCTGCTGCTGATGAGCCTGTTGGGCTCTGTACAGAGAAAATTACAAGCACTCCAGAAGATTTGGCAAGAAGATGTTAGAAGAAATAATGGGCAAAAGAAAAAAAAAAAAAAGAAAAAGAAAAGAAAAATTTCTCAACTGAAGCATCATATCCAGCTTTTGGCTACCATTTACATATTTGAGATTACAACTAGTAAAATGGAAATTCCATTGAAATGGAATAAATTGTTTTTATGAAATCCCTATCTGATTACTACTGGTGATATCTGAAATTAAACATGTTAAGCTACACTCCATATACTTGACGGAATTCAACAGAAGGTTAACGTTTTTATTGAAAATCTCTCTGTTTATATACTTTTCCAATTAGAAACCAAGGTACTCGTATCCACCTAAAACTTTTACTCCTTGCCTTATGATCACTTTCCTATTAATCTATATTGCCAACAAATCTCTCTTTACTTAATAGATGTTTGGAGACTGTTCTAACAGCTGCTAACTAGTAAGGAAATGCCAGTAGAAATATTTTATAGTCACACGTTTAAATATCACTAGAAATTTGCTTATACTTGATGCCAAGGGAAATGATTATGTTTAAGGCATATCCTGCATAGTGATAAAAAAATTACTAGGTTAAAAAATATCCCATCCAAATTATGTAAACATGATGCCAACACAATCAAATGAGAAGTATAAAATAGCCTAACTACCAGGCTTGCTTTCTTTTTCCCTCAACTCAATCTAAACAGCAATTTTTGCAAGCTGATTGATTTTTTTTTATAAATTTTTAATTTTTTTTTTCAATAGGGCATGTACACTTGGCCAAGAGAGACAGAGAGAGAAAGAGACAGAACAAAAGTGAGAAATTACCCCCTGGAAGGGTTGGCCATGTTATAATCCCTCCTCCTCTTTTCTCCTCTCAGGATTTTGGACATGCATGCACACATGCTCTGCATGATTTTCAAGCCACCAGGTCCAGGACTTGAACCATGGAGTTGGCCATATAAAATCTAGTTGCCTTAACTTCCACACTACCTGCTGGCCCTTGATGGATTCTTTTGTCATTTTGAAGACATGCTCTTATAATCCACCTAAGAAAATTGTATAAGAAAAAAACGTAATTACTCTTGTCTTAGAAGGGGGACTTCATCTATTTAAAGCTTATTAAACACATAATTGCTATTTCTCATTACATTTTATTCACTATCAAAATAACAAATGATGAACAGATTCATTTAACAGGAATCATTTTTCAGATAAAGTAGGAGATAAAATCTACTCCAAAGTAACAAACAGAAAAAAAATAAAACAACTGAAACCACTGGACAACTATCACTAGTTTACAAGTCTATTTAAAAAGTACAAATCACAATTAAACACGTCTTAGCAAAAACAAGTCATGAAGTAATCGATTAGCCTCAACTGCACAACTTAGCTAATCAGCAAATACTCTCATATTTCTGAATTATTGGTCCATGCATTTATCTGAGGTACCAACCATTTACCTCCTCCGGCATGATTCCCTAGCTGTTAAAATCATCCAGAAATACGTCAAGCAAGGACCTAATGCAAAGTCAGTCTAACTCAACAACTACATTTAATTATTGTAAAGCCAAATCTAGTATTCAAAAACCACCCTATGAATGTGTCCCACTTCAAAAAGTAAAGGAAGACAACAGAATTGATCCAATGCTTTCCATGGACTGCCACTGCTGATTATTGCCAGCCACCCACTCTTTCAGTGTTGCTGTTTTCTCCAAAGTACTGTCTAACCCTAACCCCAACTATGTCTACAAAAAGCATTTGTTAAACTCAT